TGTGGGCAGCAGCATTCTAGCATGTCCTTGTGCTGCAAGGCTCACTCTCTCCCCCTCAACTACAAACACACCTTAAATAGTAGCTCAGCTGTAGGTTCTTCTTCTAAAATACCAACATTTATTGCTGGTGTTAAGTTTCTTAACACGTGTAGAAAACCAACAGTAGAGATTTTGGACACAAAAAAAAGAAATAATCAATTCCAAGGTGCTGGCTGTCTCCTCTCCCCATCTTGTTGATGTTGTCTAGCACTCTAATAATCTCCTTTGTCCAAGAATCCTGCCATCACATCCATCCAAGGCTGCCCATCCTTACAGCACTACTTAAAACTGAAAGAATTACTTGGGTCCAGAAATGGTTTCATTTTCCCCAAGGCCTCAGCCTTAAAGCTGGTGGCTGTTACCCCTCTTGTATTCATGAAAAGAGCTAAATGCTTCCACCACAGCAGAACTAACCTCTTTCCCAAGTAGCTGCTATCTTGTAGTTCCGAGCCAACATTCTTTTAGCCAGAGCAGGATATTCCACGGCCATTGACCGACACAAATGCATCAAGTCTTCAAACAGTACTGGGCTTTAGAAGGATAAAACAAAATAAGAAGTTACATTCAAAAATGTTACCCTAACGGCAGGCAGATACTTCTGGGAGGTGAGTGCTGTAGTGTCAGTGTATGTAAGACATGTGATGGCAAAACACTAACAAACAGTTAAGGCAGGTTTCAGATTAATGTTTGACACGCCAGCCCTGCTCCGAGCTGGCAGAGGAAATGCTTATCATTATGTATTGCAAAAATCCACATTCTGCATCAGAGAGAAGCAGATCTCAAGTTGGAACACAGACCTTGACCTAAAAGAAGCTTTGATGCAGAGTGTTCATTTGCATTGGTCCTGCTGTCAATATGCAGGACTAGGGGCTTTGGGGGTCGTTGCTTTGCTTGCTCTTACAAGTGGCTGTGCACAGCAGGCCAGGCTCTCAGCAGTGATCCACGGATGAACTTCCCTTGCAGGGCTGCAACCCGGGGTCCTTACAGCGCCGTGCTCGACGCCCGGGTTGATGCCCTGGCCGTTTCCTCCCTGCCCCGGGACTTCCCAATAGTGCTCCCTCCGGGGAGCGGCCTGCCTGGTGTCCCACAGCCGCGCGTGGGCGACGGCCCGTTGGCCCCGCTGCTCCAGC